CAGGTTGGTCTTTATCCAGCCATGTATTCAGATTTTTTCATACCATGATGGAGGAATGAGTTCAAATAGGCACTTAATTAAGTTACAAACCTAATTTGCTTTCAAGGTTTCAAGTTACAGACAAGGCAGGGACAAGGCAGTAAATGAGAAATACATGTTCCCTTAGGAATTAAAAAACCAAAATGGAATACATGTCTGAATCTCTAGCTCAATTTAGACCTCACAGAGCCCTTGAAAGACAGACAACAGAGAAAGTAAGGCCTTGTGATCAGTACATTAGCAAAGCTGGAGATTAGTTTTGAGAGCACAATAGTACAGTCAGTTGAAACCAAATCTGATTGTGTGTTGATGAGAAACCAGGAGGCATTGCTAGGTACTTAAAGGATTCGGGGCATGGGCCCATGACACAAATTTGCATGTGCTAATTTATATGTATAGACGCCTCTGGGCAGATTAAGATGGCAGATGGCTGGGGTGGTCTCACCAGTACTGCACTTTGCAGTGGACTCAAATGCATAGTAAGCAAAGTATAGGAACATCCCTGATTATAATGTTAGAGATTTATTTTTGTTTTAAGTGATTATATAAATGATTATAGATTTTTTATTAAAAAAACCACACACACTTAAGACAAGGTTTTTCTCAATTTTCTCATAATTTGTCAACTTTATGGGGAAATTATGGAGCAGGCCATGGTCTGAAGGCACATGAGGCTTCCACTCTGCCGCTACTACTAATCAAGTCTGGATCTGGTTAATGCCTGGTTGGGAGATCACTTGAGAAACACAAGTATGCCTGCCTTACCTTCCACCAGGGGCCAAAAGTGGAGATATAAATGTAAGGAAAATAAATAAATATATGCAAATTATGCCTTGCCATACCATTTCCCCCTCACATTTGAAAATGCAGTTGCATGAAATAAGAAAAACAGAACAAGTTGTATTTGGGACATATTGTGAGAAAGCTTACCACAAAATCATTTTCTGGTGATTTCTTAAGATAGGGTTCACCTCTAGTCACAGTTATAAGTGTCTAAATCTAACGCAGGTCATGACAGATACATGTGTTTTGAGGAGTCTGGCTTAATTATCTTCCTGTAATAGCTTCACACATGCTGCAGCCACAAGGTTTAAATCAGCCCTGTGAGGCTCAGGACCAGTTTATTGCAGCAGAGACTGTCTTACATCCCCAGTAGGTCACTGCATTCTGTAGGAGGGTGTCTCCTTGAAGTCCCTAAGATAGCAGAAGCCCACTCCACAGCAATTTGGAGCAGGGCTTCCAGCATGCATCCCTACTGAGATATGAAATGTGCCCACTATTTTTTACTTTGCAGAAACAAGTAAATGCATTTTTGTTTTGTTTTGACTTTTAATATATATCCTTGGGTGTTTTATTTGTATTGATTTAAAACCTTTTAGTTGTTTGTATTGCCTTTATTTCTAATTTTAGCTTGCTATCTGAACTAAACTGCCTGAACTGAAACAGTTTGCCAGGACTAGATAGGCATTTAGCCTGATCCAACCAAGCTGCTCTTACCATCCTGAGGGAGTTGATCACAGTGTCACTAAGTATGCTGAGTATGTTTTTAGTAGATAAGACATGAAAAAACTGAGCTTCTGTATATCCTGTATTAACATAGGCTTTTAAAAAAGATATCCAAGATTAACCCATAGGAGAGAACCTAGTGAGTCATGTGACATTGGGCAGTCAGGACTAGCTGTCATAGTCCTGCTCCTAGCTCAGGTGTTGATTTCCGACCCCCAAATAATGGGTGGGGAGGTAGCTGTGGTCTGGATAACGGAGGTCATACCTTTGCAATTTTACAACCACCTTACAGGTACCTTACTTGGTGCTCTGACTACTGAGTCATTCCACCAAATCTTAGGATTTTTTTAAAAAGTGTGCTGCTATGAATTGCCTTTGCTTTTCTGTGATTCCCCATCTGGTACTGTAGTCTTTTTAGTTTCATTGTTTACAGCATTTGCTATCTTTTTGTGAACCATTTCAGAAACTGTTGTATTAAGCGGTATACTGTATATAAACATATGAAATAAATAATAAAATAGCCTTGCTCTATGAGGTATTCAATCATATTACAGTATATCAATAGCATACTCAGGTGCTGAGTTGTGATGGTTGGCAACCCCTGGCTTAACCCATAGGGTAAGAGGCTGTTGGTGCATTTGCTGTTAATCCTTTTGTGCACGTTCCCCCCCCCCCCCCCAGTCTGGGAGGGGGAACAAAATAGGACCCAAAGCAATACAGTCGTAACTTGGATCCTGAACACCTTGGTACTCAGATGTTTTGCTTCTGAATGCTGCAAACCCGGAAGTGAGTGTTCCGGTTTGCGAACGTTCTTTGGAACCCAAATATCCGACGGGGCTTCCGCGGCTTCATTTGATTTTACTGCTGAGGTTCAACTCTGGAGGCCTACAAGTTGGTAGCAATAATAATGAATAAAATACATTTCCCTCACCTTTGAATTTCTGTGATGTATTCTAGGCTTCTAGGAAAGACAGAGGATACTGTTGGGGTACTTTGCATGTGAAGTCTGTTACTACAAGTACAGGCGTCTCCCCAGTTACGCAGGGGTTATGTTGCCAGGTACCACGTGTATATGTGAAATGAACTACAGTGGGGAACACCATCTAAAAAGCCTGTAAACACCCAGTAAACCTCTGGGAACTCTTAAAAAAACCCAGCAGCACTTACCAGACTGGCATGAATGGTGGCACTGGTGGCTCTTAGTCTTCCTCATCACTGGATGATGTGGAAATGACAAGGGGGTGGGTAGACCGGTACCCCAAAGTCCTTGGCCATGGCTCAGATCCTTGCTGCTGATGGTACTGCTACAGGTGTTCTGCAGAGAAACAGGGTAATGGGCAGCTGACACTGTTGTCTTTTCAGCTGGTCAGGGTATGCTTGGGAAACCTCCTTGTCCGTGAATGCAGCTTCACCAGTGGTGTGGGTATTCTTCAAACTGAAGTGACCCTTCAAGCAGTGTAGCCAACTGGAGCTGGCTTAGAACTCCTTCACAGACTGTTTCCCCTCTCCAGTGGCAGACTTGAGGTTGCGAACAGCCTGAGAGCTTTCTGGCACAAGGTGTTGCTATCAATGGGGGCACGCTTGTGGTTCATGTCCTCCAGCCTTCTCTGTCTTCACCAGAACCGTGTCCCACACATTGCTGGTGACCTTTGCAGTTGTTGATGCACTCGCTGCTACTCCTGCCCAGATTTCCTTCTTCTTTATCTTGATGGGACATATGCTGGACTCATTCCTGCCTTACTTCTGTGCCACAGCACACACAGTCATACAGTCTTGTAAACAGCCCAGCGCTTCCAGTTTCTCCTCCCGCATGAGCAGCACTTGCTGCTTCTTGGGTTTCTCGGCACCTGAGGAAGATGACGATGCCTTGTGTTTAGGTGCCATCTCCGAAAACTCATCTGAAAACTCTGCCAAAAATCCACCAAATTCCACTACAATTGCTCCCTCCAAACCTCCTTTCAGATGCATGGGATCAAAGTTGCAAAGGCTGCTGGGATTGCTAGCCCCTTTCCTGCTCTTTTTGTACCATTCCATTTTTGCAGTTTTCCTGCTCTTTTTGGGGCCGTTTTTGCCCCTTTGGGGCCATATTTTGCAATTTAAATCAAATTATTTATTTCCCTGTACTACACATATACGTGGTTGTGTGCAAGTAGAACGTCCCACATTGGGTAAAAGATCCTTGCATTGGACTAGATGACCCTTGCGACCCCTTCCAACTCTACACTCTATGATTCTATGGGGGGTAAGGGGTGCCAACTTGAATAAAAAATTGAGTGGGGGGTGCAGGTAAGCCCCACCTTGCCTAATGGATCACATGACGTGGCTCACACACACAATTTGAATGGCAATGCCCATCAACTTTTGGGGGGTGGCCCCCTTCAGATATTTTATTGGGGGAGAGGCAAAGACCCCTCTGCCCCTAGGAGTTCATTCCTATGGGGGGGCACACACCTGTACTCCTAAAGTGTAGTCCAGAAAAACATCAAATCTGATGGCATTTAGTGTAGTTAGGACTGGAGCCAGTGCCAGATTTACATCTAAGCTAAACAAGCTATAGCTTGGGTCCCCCAAATATTCTTAATTGTACAGTGGTACCTCAGGTTAAGTACTTAATTCGTTCCAGAGGTCCATTAACCTGAAACTGTTCTTAACCTGAAGCACCACTTTAGCTAATGGGGGCCTCCTGCCGCTGCCGCGCCACCGGAGCACGAGTTCTCATCCTGAAGCAAGGTTCTTAACCCAAGGTACTATTTCTGGGTTAGCGGAGTTTGTAACCTCAAGCATATGTAACCCGAGATACCACTGTATTTCACTATTAATATACTTCTTAATTGTATATAAGTTCAACAATTACTTTGATAAAATACATATTTTGTTATGCGCAAATGGCTTTAGATACCTACATATTAGGTCCATAAATTACCACATAGCATATATTCAACACAAAAAACAGCGACAATTTGTTGCTGACAAGGGACAGCTGGACATATAAAGGGCCCCATTACCTTCAGTAGCTGAGGACCTCATCAAACCTAAATCTGGCCCTGGCTGGAGCCTTATGACACCATATAAACTTCCCTGGGCCTAGAGGATTCGCGTTGAAGCAGAGCATTTGTAGAGTATACAGAAGGACTTTTGTTTTGCCCTGAAGAGGACCTTTCTCACGTCTGGGCCATATAGGTGCTCTGATGCCCAAAGGCCATCAGGTGCAACAGGTCCCGCCGGGGTCCATTCCTCTTGTAAAAAATGTTCACGCCATTCAGGGACAACAACAACAACTATATTCAGGCTGGTTGTTCTTTGGGACCAGGCCAGGCTCGGGGTTTTTTTTTTATTATAATGTCTTTTTAAGTAAGTACCGCGCTGCCAGTCTGAAAAGAAGAGCCAGGCGGTTTTCGTGAGGAAACGATGACGGCGGGTGGGGAGGGCGAAAGAGAAAGAGAGCGCGAGAGCCCCAGTTTTGGCGGGAGGGGCGCGAGCCGCGCTCGGGCCGAAGCTGACGCCACTTTCCGCGCTGGGAGGCTCCGTCTGGGGCCAAGCTAAGCCTCTGCCCCGGTGGGTGGGTGGGGGCGGGCGGGGTGCTAAACAGCCGGAGGAAAGGAAAGAGGGGGGGGGCGTGCGGAAGAAAGAGGCGGGAACGGGAGGGGAGATGTTGGGGAAGCGGCTGGCCTGGCAGAAGAGCTCCTGCTAAAGTTATTTCTCTCCCCCCCCTCCTCTATTTCCTTCCTTCCTTCTTTCCCTCCCAAGCCCGGGAAGGAAGAGAGCAGGACTTCTTGAGAGGAAATGCCAAGGTAAAGGCGCTGAAGGAGGTTGCTTTTGTTTTGTTTCGGCCCGAAGCTTTGGGCTGGCTCCTCGCGCGGTGTTTTGGGTTAAAAAATAAACAACAGAGAGTGTGTATATGTGTTTGTGCGCTTGTTACATTTTAGCAGAAACCGGCGCACCCGGTTGCTTTGCAAAAAAAGAAAAGAAAAGTTCGGACTTCTCTTTGGCGGCGGCGCATCTCCCGTCCTTTGCCTGCAAGCGAGTCAGATAATACGTATATATGTGTGTGAGAGAGAATGCGCGCCTCGAAGCCCATCTGAAAGACTTCTTCATTTGTTTCTTCCTTCAGGGTCTTGCGTTAGCCTTGTCGAGAGGAGGAGGAGGAGGAGAGGGGCGTTTAAGCTCTTTATTACTGGGAGGAAGAGAGCTTGGCAGATGTCCCAAGCGAGAGAACCTCTTCCTTCAGGGCCTGAAGGGCCAGAGCGCGCAGCTCCGGCTGAAAACAGCTTTTTGATCTCGCTCCCTCGAGGTAAGTTGCTCGAAAGTTTTTCTTCTGGGGGGGGGGGGGGAGCTGCGACGGCTGAACAGCTGAAATGATGCAGCTGAGATTAGGCTGTGTTCATTGGGAAGGGGAGGGGTGGGTGTGTTGCCTTTTCCAGGCCGCTTACAGCTTGCTTACCTTCCCTACATCCTGTTAGGAAAGTGTGTGTGGAGTTATTCTGCAATACAGGCACAAAATGAGGGGTTTTGTGTCCCTGTGTCACTTCCTTCTCCAGCGCTTTCCTCTAGATGCATTGGCTGTTCTTCACTCCTGGCATTTTTTTGTTTGTTGCCATTTTTGCCACACCTCCCAAATTCCGAAGCAGGCCGAGGAATGCCGGACTAAATATGTACAAAACCCTTATTTTTCGCCTTGTAGAGTAGTAGTTTTGAAACTGGAGGGGAGGGGGCAGGTGCTCTCAGGCTAGGCCTTTATCTTCTCCCTACCAAGCTGCCTGAAAGTGTGCACATGAGCAGCTGCTCCAGAGTAGATAGGCTTTAAAATGCTTATATATGCAACAAAATGTTTGTAGCTCAATGACTGTAGCTCAGTGGGAGAACGTCTGCTTTGCATGTAGAAGGTCCCAGCATCAACCAGGTAGGACAGGGAGGGACCACTATCTGAAACCCAGGAGAGTGGCTGCCAGTCAGTGTAGGCAATACTTGAGCTTGATGGACTACTGGTTGGTCAGTGTAAGGCAGCCTCCTATGTGTAGCTGGCTGTTTACTTTCAATTTTGTTTTAAAATTTGCCTTCCAGATTCACTAGGCGACAAGTTTAAAGTGAGCACATTCAAGTAGGAGGATGGTCATGTGACACTGTTTATTGTAAAGGTTTCCGTGTTTTAACAACATTTAAAGTGTTTTAGATTTTGGAATACCTTTTTCTATAAATAAAATGAGAGGCATTTAAGTTATTTTTTTCTTTTACAGGCAATATGTAGTATATTAACCACTTCATTGTTTTTATTCATTTAGAACTGACACTTTGTCTTTAAATGATACTCAACTATGCACAATAATATTTGAAGACCAAAATAAATACTTACACTAGTCCACAACTGTATAGTGGCAATATTGTTGCAGCAGCAATCTAAACTCAGGGATGAATTTGACACACTAGAAATAACAAACCTTTCTTCTTGTAGAAGCGCTTAACTATCCTTGCCATGTAACTTTCGTCAGAAGTAAACTTCTAAAGAATTCATAGGGAAAATCAATAACAGCCCAATCCAAGGAAGGTTTACTTTAAAGTAAATCCCACTGTGATCAGTGGGATTTTCACCCTCATAAAGAACATTTGATTGCAGCCTTTTAATAAGTTGAAGGTAAATTCCATTTAACATGGTGGTACTTACAACACGCATAAGATTGAACTGTATGGCACAGAGTTGCTGCAGAGGTTACTAAGGTAACTTTTCCACTTACACAATGGCAGTGACTAAGGGTATATTTTACCAGTGTTGTCCAGTGCACGAGTTACACCTCTCCCTGGCAAAGTTGGACAAAGTCATGGTCATTCATGCCCTAGTGACCTCCAGGTTGGACTTCTGTAATGCATTCTAAATATGATTGCTTAGCGTTTTCAGAAAATTCAGCTATGACAAAATGCTGCCAGTTTATTATCTGGAGTTGGGTGTATGCCTGCAAACATCAGAGCTGTTTTATGGAACACTTTTTGAGCTATTAAGGAACAATATATAATGTATGGACATACTTAGGCCACTTCCATGAGCATTTCTCAGATTTGAAACCTGTCTATGGTCTGTTGCAGTGTATGGGTATCTCGTTTACTTAACACGCATGGAGATGCAAACAAGAATCAAACTTACTTGCTTTTTGAGATGCCTTAAATGTATCTCAGGTCTTTAAAAAAAGCAAGATTCCTTTCCATAGAATCTGTATTAGAACCATTCTTCTTTGTATGGCTGTGTTGTCATCAAAGAAACCGTGATGTCAAGCTTCCCATTCATAGTTTGTTTGCGTGAAACAAACCACAATCCCTGGTTGCATGTAACACTAAGCCAGGGTTGTGGTTTGCTGCATGGTAAACTGTTAACTTTTGACCAAACTGCAGGAGGCAGTGGAAGACAGGAGTGCCTGGCGTGCTCTGGTCCATGGGGTCACGAAGAGTCGGGACACGACTAAACTACTAAACAACAACAAACTGTTAACTGTGGTTATAGTTGGCTCATGCATACAACATTTTATTCTAGAATCAATGGAGACTAAGGTATTTGTTTTTTCCTGATAAAGTTCACATACAGTCTAGATCTATTGCATATTTTTAGCCCCTGAAAAACACTTCTTGATAAACTGGTTTCATTCAGAAAACAAAAGTTCATTGCAGATTGACCCTGCATTGGTCTGCAGTGTAGTGTGTCCATTTGAAAACAGATGTAGGCGGTCCCAGAAATGCTCCTTCCAATACCTTGCTACTACTGGCCTAGCTGCCAACAAGAACAGATGTTTGAAATGCAGGTTCATATTATCTCCCAAGCAAGTTAAGCCGGATTCAGGGATTTAATGATGCTTTGTCCAGTTATGGCACAAAACCCCCCCAAATATTGACCACATTTTCACAGGCCACATTGCTGGTTGCACGTGTTGACAGACTCTCAGCAAGTTAGGGTGAGTGGCGTTGCATATGGCTAGTGGCTGGTGCTGAGTTTCTTTAACAGTGCCGGACACCAATATGACGGAAAATATTTGAATGGCATACCCAGGATTGCAATCACAATTCTCTTCACCTTGGCATAGTGCAGGGAAAAAGGATGGATCGTCAGATGCACAGAAAGAGTTTGGTACCTCGGTATTGACCTGATACCCGTCTGTGGTGCTATCTAGAATCTCATTAAACATGTGAACAAGCATAAATGATCAAATTGAGAAAAATATTTTCCAGCTATGTATTTGTTATTTGTGCCCAGATTTATGTGTATCTCAGTGCCATTTTAATCTAGTTAAAGAGAGATGATCTATTATGTGTTTTGCTCAAGTGAAAGATCAGCCTCAAGTGCCATTTCTTAGCCCAACTATCCTGTGCAGCGCCACATCCAAAGAGCATGAACACAGTAATGTATAAGTGAAAATGGCATTAATTTAAAGTCATAAGGGTGTGTGATGTGAAGAGGGCAGAACTTTTTGCTGCCAATGAAACTAGGTGTTTTTGGATTCAGCTGCCTCTATTTCCTCACCTACTCACTTAATTCCAGATTTTGGGCTATTGGTGAGAAGTTTATTAGCACATGTCATATATATACTTGTTGTGGTGCACCAGAGATCCCCCCCCCAGGATTTCTAGAGATATTCCCTACAGTGCTTTATATCTTTGTGCCAGAATTCATTTTATGCCAAACGTTTTAGATGAGTTTTAATTTGCTACTATTATTATTTGTGACTTTTAGTTTGCTGTTGTTTGTTTTGTATTCTCATGTTATTTTGTAGCCTGGGAATAATTGAAGGTGGCTAAAATATACTTATAACAAACCAAATTGTGAAGTTCCTGGCTTCCTTGTCATAATTGGAGGAACTGCAACCAGACTTGCAACGATTTGTTGGTACATTCTCCTTCACACTCTCCCTTGCATTCACGCTATCATTCTGAATGGTTAATGGACCTCACCATTACAAAAAATAAAACAGTGCAAGCAGATACTTCCTGAAATACCTGAAACAAAGACTGACTCATTGAAACATTGGTATGTTTATAATTAGGAGGAAAATCTTATTCTGGATGAGAGCTGAGCCTTGGCTGCTCAGATCTGAAGCACAGGACAAGGGAGTGGGTGCAAGATCTGAGCCAAATGGAGCCAAACTCTAATATGGAAATGTGGGGGCCTTGTCTGTCATTGAAATTCAGCCAATGGAATGGCCCTCCACTGAGTAGATTATGTACTATTCAGTCACTAGCTGCATTTGCCTTTGTATGATGATGCTAACAGGAGTCAGTAATATCTGCAAAGCTTGAGAGACAGCAGCCCATAATACGCACAGTTGAGTCATCATGTAACTTACTGTAAATGTTTATGAGTTCTGATTTGAGTTGGAGCTTTTTTGAGTTTGGAGAACTGCAACAAGTAAAGTGATTCAGCTGTCTTTCCTGCTCGCCCCAATTCCCCTTTGGTTAGAGAGGCTTCCCACTTGCAGTTGCCTGAAAGTGCCACTCAAGACTCATAGATCTGTAACCTGTTGTGAACTAAAAGTATTCTAGAACAGTGGTTCCCAATTGGTGGTCCACGGATCCCAGGGGGTCCACGTAACCCACTCAAGGTGTCTGTGGCACCGTTCACATAACAAAAACTACCATAAAGGTATCAAAAAATTCAAAAGCAGGGGATCCATGGCTTGGATTTTATAAAACAGTGGGTCCACAGTACTTAGCTAACTGGGGACCACTGTCCTAGAAGGTACATTTATAGCACAATCTTATGCATGTTTACTCAGTAGGAAGCCCTGTTGTGTTCAGTGGTGCTTTTCCCCTAATAAGTGTGTTTAGGATTTCAAACTTAGTGAGGTTATTATTTATTGTTTAATAATACTGTACAGAGAATGATAGATAAGTGAACAAAGTGATTTTCTAAGGACGTTTTGCTGCGTATCAACTCCAAATTGGGTTTTAACTTGAGGTTGGTAAGTGTGAAATGAATATAGCCGTCACACAGTTTCTTAGATGGGCAGATATGCTTTGGAAAGAGGTACTTTTTATGAGAGAAAGCTATGACATTTTTGCTATTGTGCTCCAATAGAAATAACAGTAAATCAATACTGCTAAAATATCGAGTTTCACAATTACTCTAATTTTTCCAGATTTTGTGCCACCTTTTACTGGTAACAGGTTTTAATGTTATGAGTAATTGGATTCCCCCTCCTGCCCCTCTTAACGGTTGAAAAAGTTGCTAAGATTTTTCGTATTTATTAAATGCTACAGTTTTGAGTGATGAGTAATACCCTTTGAGACAACAGTGTCTTGTATTATCCTCTTATGTTACATTGTTCTTCTTGCTTCTAACACAACTATGAATTTATTAGTATCAGCCAAGAAAATGCAAGATTTCTCGACAAGCTTAAGTGTAAATGTCGCAAGGACATACTTCTGCATTCAGTTTCTTGTGCATAATTTCAGTTAAGATGATTAATGCCCATGTGGCGGTGACACATGCATATTCTTCTGAAGTCAAAGCCTAAATGACTTTAGTGACATTGGCTTTTACCTCATACTATCTTGGTCTGCCGAGTACAGCAGTTTCTGATCTCGGATTCTTTTCCAGTCAGAACTTTGAACCGAGTGATGCAGTATGGGCAAATGCAACAGAGTTGGTATTTCCTTTGAAGTTTCTGCTGCAGTCATTGCAATGCTAAAAAGGCAAACAGCTTTTTACTTTGAAATATGACATGGCTCTTTATCATAGAATTGTAGAGTTGGAAGGGACCCCAAGAGTCATCTAGTCCAGCCCCCTGCAATGCAGGAATCCTGCCCGCAGCCATTCCTAGGTGGGCTCGAACCACCAGCCTTCTGGTTAACAGCCAGATGTACTGATCCATTGCACCACAGAGACCACCTGCCATGGAACCTTTAAAGAAAGATCTGTCATCAATCACAGCTCTTCAGTGCACATGTACCGGTACATTGTTTAATTGAACTACAATACACATATCTAAAGGTTGGCCATGAAAGTATCTAAAATGCACTTCCTAAATTCAAAATGTTTATGCAAAATTTGCTTTCCCTTTAATTATGTTTGCCAATTCTAAAATAGTGCAGATTGGGGGTATTTGTGTAATTGCTGAAGTATGTAGGCTGGAAAGTACTTCAAAAGTTGGCCACATAAAGATATCTGGAATTGCTTTATTAAATAGGATTTTGTTCATATGACTGGTCCTTTTTAAAAATTTAGATATATGACTGTAACATTATTTTTCTGTGTATCATAAATCTTCAGCTTCTATGCATGTGTGTGTGTGTGTGTGTGTGTAGTTTTTTAAAAGAGGCCCCGTGGAACATGTGTACTGTGTATCCATGGGGCCTCTTTTAAAGGACTCACCCTGTATATACATACATATATGACACGACTAAACGACTAAACAGCAACATACATACATGCACACACACACACACACACACACACACACGTGTATCTGTGCAGCATGAGTTGCCCTTTCTTGTGATTCTGGCCAAAGTACTTTGGAGTTTAAGTTTTCAAATGGACTGTGAAGAACTTTGGAGGTTCAAAGTTTTTAATTGTACATAACTCCAGTGCTTTCCAATAACACAGAGCCAGACCTGTGTTACAGAGGGGTTTTGAGGTTTCATCCCATGTGATCAGTGATGTTGGAATGAGGGAGATCTCACAGGAGAGCCAAACAGTGGGGTTGCTTGCCATACTAACATGTCTTGCCCATGTGACCAACACTTTATAAGACCAGCAGGTTGGTCTTTTGGTGTTTCTCTCAACTGAGGATGTAAGAAATGAGAGGGTATTTAATAAGGCCTTCTCAGTATCAGCTTCAACACTTTGGAATGACCTCTTTATCGGCGGTGTGCCTTGCACCATCATTGATTTAATTTAGTACACAGATGTGAAACTATAGGTATTACAGAATTACAGTATAGCTGGAACTTCTACTGGCCTGCTGATACTATTGCTGATAATTTATTTTGCTATTTAAATGTTTTATATTAGGTATTTATGCATTTTTAAAAAAATTGTGGAACACCCTGTGACCATTTTGTAAATGCTGGTACAGAAATCCTTAATTAAGTATATAAAATAATACTTGAAAATGATATCATTTTTACAGTAGGTGGCAAAGGTTTCCAGCTGTTTAACAATAGCAACAACTAAGGACTCCGCTATACAGCTGCAAATAAAACATTTTAAGTGTGTTTTAAGTGCAATATACAATGTGACACTAGATGGCAATGGTGAGCCTTATGGAAAATTCAATGTATTTTTAAAAACACTTTTTTAAAAAGCGTTTTCAGAACATTTTTTTTATATGTGTGTAGATTCCACATAAAACTCACCCTCTCAGTTAGACTACAAAGAAAAGAAAACCAAGGTGAAAACCTGGAGTGGATTTTTGTATGAAAAGGCTGAGACTGAGAGTTTGGTTTTGGTTTTCAAAATAAATTCCTGTGCTAATCATATGTTCTAAGATACTATTTACCCTTCATTAACTCTAACAGTATGTCTGGACCTCTGAGCCACTATGCAAACACTTGGCTCCAGCTTGTGGAACTCCGAGATCAAGTAATAACCACCAAAGCAGATCCCATAAGCGTGAAGTCTCTTTACCCCTTAGTATGTTTCAGTGTGGGAATGGTTAGGACAGAAGGAGAATTAGTTTTCTTAACTTGCTGCAACTGAATAATAAATTGGGAGAACAATCATTATATAATTTTAATTATCCTTAATCTCTTTGCTAATACTTAACTCTTGCAGCTTAGCCATGAACAATTTATAAGAGAACGGTTTGGTATATTCTTGTTGATAAAGCAGCTTGGAAAGGAAGGGGTAAATCTTCTTAAATTGCTTATAGTGTAATCCTTTGTTGTTGTTTAGAAAAATGTGATAGAGGAAGAACAGCGCTAGGAGAGAGAGAGATCAGAGAACCTTCAAATAACCCAAATATACAAGTAGATACAGAGGACCAGCCTGTCTGGGGGAATTGCACTGGTGATGACCTCATCGGAAGTAAGTATTTCCAGAACTAATTGCTGCTGTTTAGACTTGCCTTTTTAGTGTAATCTTATACTGACTGTTGATGTAGCTAAATCTGTGTCAAATGCATTTGTGTAGAACTGTAATGTGTGTCAATAGAATTTCTTCTCAGGGATGATTTCTGTCAGTCTTCATCATCAAAGACTACCTAGAGATAAACAAGCTGTTTTTGTGACTTGAGCAAACATGCATTATACCATGTCAGGCAGCGCATCTGTGCAATTATTATTTTAAGATCCCATAATGCGGTTTTCCATTAATTCCAAGGAAAGCAAATGCCCTTTGAACAATCTTGAGATTTGTCAGTCTTGTTGTGTGTTAAGGAGAGAGGAGAGTGCCTTCAGATTCTCTTCAGAAGGCAGTGATTCAAGTTTTCAAGTTATAAATTCAAATTTCATCCAGCCTGATCTCCGTGAGTAGCTAGTCTTTATGGCACCAATTATCTCCTTGTGCCTGTCTCCCCCTCATACCGGTGGGATAATATAGGGCCAGTCCTGTCGAATCCTGCTTGTGGAATTCCCATAGGCATTTGGTTGGCCACTGTGAAAACAGGATGCTGGACCTAGAGGGGGTGTTTGCCTGATCCAGCAGATTCTTATGTTCCTAATTTCCAGGTCTGCAGTGAACAGGGATGTTCACAACAATAAATGGGGGTGTGCAGAAAAGCGCAGTGTATGTAGGAAGTTGTCTTATGTGTAAAATCTTCACTTCTGCATCAGTGGCTTTAGAAGATTGGGGTGATTGTTTGCATGTTTCGTGCAGCACGTGTTCTTGATGGGTCTTCCCTAATGGTCTGGTAAAACTGCATTGGAATTAAAAGATATGAGTGTTCCATTGTGTAGAAAAAGGAATCAGTCAAAAGTAAACATTTTGGATTGAGGACATACAAAGCAATTATTTGAAAAAAAATAAGAATTGGTAAGTAAGACTGATTTGCCAAGGAACTTGCTTTTCTGTGTTGCATTGAACGTAATACACATCATAATTTTAACAAGAGCCTTGCTTTCTGTTTACTGCTGCTTTAATGACTCAATATTTTTTTCTCTTTCCAAATGGATTGTTTATCCACCTACGCAGTTTCAAATATTGCTCTGTTTGTTACAAGTCTTCTTAGCTTTCCCATTATAAATGTTTCCAGATGTTTCGTTTTTCTTATTATTGTAAAAAAAAAAAATACAGCAAGATAATAACTTTTGGGCAGTTAAACAGCTTAAGACTGTCAGGAAATTCTTCTTAATGTTCAGTCTTAATCCTTGTTCTTGTCATTTGGACACCTTGCTTCAGCTTCTACCCTGTGGATCAGGCCTGGGGGGTTTTGTTCAGCCTGAGAGCTGCATTCTTTCATAAGCAGCTTTCCAGGGGCTGCATACCACTGACAGGCATAGTGAGAAGCAAAAGTGGGTATGACACTTGCCTTCCACAGTAGGATACATTCCAGCCTCACAAAGGTCCATGATTCTATCCCACTTCTCCTTCCAGGTATTAGCAAGAAGAGGCATCATCAATGTTCATGAGCATATTCCATCTAGGCAAAATCACTTAAGATGGACACAGAGGCCTGGGAAGGGAGTACATGACCTAAGGAGAACCCTGACTGAGGGCCAAACAGAGACCTTGTGGCCTGAGATTCCTCACCCTTTCCATAGAGCAGCAGAAAATAAATAGGGTCCATCATGTATGTGACAGTCCTTCAGATATTTGAAGATGACTGTTACATCTCCTCTTAGTTGTCTCTTCTCCAGGCTTCATGTATTTAATTCGTTCAACGATTCCTTCTTTGTGTTTTCTTTAAATTGACATTTTCCTAGTAAATTAAGAGAAGTTAAAAATTCAAAAATGAGAAGTAAACTTAGAGTTGTATCCATAATGCAAGTAAACATACTATTGTCACATCATGCCTTGCTATTTTCACCCTTCCAAGTGCAATGTTATGCAGCCAATCATTTCAGCTTTTAATTTGAGCACCTTTAGGATCTTATGAGACATTTTCCTTGAAAAGAGAAGCTGTCTGATTCCATTGTCACCATTCACATAAGAACATAGCCTATTCTGCCAAATTCCACTGATATACTTGTTTTTCCATTATTTTTCTTTGTTCGAATGACACATTACTGCAAAATTATCATAGCAGGAGTTAATTCAGCACAATTTGTTCGATATTCTATAGCAATAAGCAATAGAAGTTGAAGGAGCAATAGGCATGGGTCTTGTAGACTTGTTCAGATTTAATCTTCCTGTTGCTCAAACAGGACTTCAGCTTTGTGATATTTAAGAAAACAAGAAGCATCTCCCATATATTCAAACTGTCATGAATAATTGATTAATAATAATCCAGTTCTCAAGATTAAATAGCCTATTATATGCTGAAGTTTTACAGATAGAAAGGTCACTGCCATCCATCATTTCAGCTTCAAATTTATCCTCTTCTTCACTAAACATCCACCTTGTTCTTTCTGGAAAGGGGTATTTTTATCCATATTGGAGGGAGTGGGGAGGATAAACTTCTGGGATATGTTGTGTACTATTCAGTAAGTGGAGAAATTTGGTAAACCCAAGCCATAAAAAATGTAAAACAAGCACCTTTCAAGGTAATGCACTAATGTACTAAAATAAAAATAAATAAAAATCCCCCACAGTGCTAGAGAAACTGAAGTGGTAGTTTTTTCAGTGTCCGCATTAGAGAATTGTTCTCTGAGGGGCTCATCATTTAGGACTGATTCACATGATCAGTCCATATCAGATAATACCTTGCTTGTGTGAAATCTCTATTGCATTCTCAGCTCATAGGTGGAGTTTCCTTATTGGGTTAGTTTACACTGAGGCCCAACAGAAAATATACTGAAAGCTACTTTGTGCCAAAGTTATTTATCCAATCAGATGATGTGACAGCTTTCAAAGAGTGATTTTAATAATGTACAGGACTTTCATTGCTCAATTACATGATGTTTTATATAATGGGGTGTTTCCAGCTACCCCACCCCTTATAAGAAGCTGCTGCAACATCATGGGAGGGGTCTTTCTAGGACTAAAGTGAAACCGTGAAGCTCCCTTGTTATTTTTGCTATTGGATGCTGCACGTTTTATTAATCTTGTTAAATTTATAGTATTTAAATGTGCTTTTGTGTATGGCTGTTACATTTGCTATTGTTTTGATGTGTTATTTTGAAATTGTTTTTGTAGTGTTGGTTTGAAATGTATTCCTGTTTTCTTTGTTGTAAGCTTCTTTGAGCGTGATTTTGTGTGTGGGAAAAAGTGGCATACAAATTGACTGACTGACTGACTGAATGATGTTTCAGACAACTGGAACCAGCGCTTGAATGAGAAAGAACTGTCAGTGTTATCAAGCTTTGTATTAAGAATTACCCATATATACTTGACTTAAATCTAAGAAAAGGACACGAGGCTACTATCTTCTAATTGTTCAAAAAGTGTTGGTCATATTAATAGTGATGATTCTAAAGAGGACTGAATCTACAGGCAGTGTGTTATCTGAGGGAATAACTTTGCTTTCCTGCCTAAGACTGATGTTTGCTATTTTATTATGTATGAACAATCTGATGCTCATTTGCCTGGGTGCAGGGTCCAGTGAGCAGAGTGGGATTTGCCTGTTAGTAGACATGCACACGATTATGCTGCATGTTCAGTCATTAATCCAAAAAGTTTTAGGTAATGTGAACCCCAAGTCGGAAGATCATTATCTTAACAAGGGAAAGTCCTAATTATTTGTCACTGTCCTTTCCTTGTTAATCTCTCCATAACTCCAATCAGCAACTAAAGTTTTGATGCTTTCTAAATAAAGTACATAAAGCAATATATTGTTTGAAGCGAATATTACTTAAATCGCTTCCCGCCCCGTAGCTGTAATGCATCCTTATGAACCTACCAGAAATAAAGCTGCATTTTATGTTAAGATGTATGTTTCCATTTGGTTCCAGTATATTTCAAAGAAGCTTGCCTGTGTATAGCATACAAAAAAAAAAAAAAAAGAACCTGCCCACACCTTTCCTGAAATAATACTGTGGAGTAAGTGAACTGGCATTGTGATAGTCTGCAATTTTCTAGAGTAATGATATATTCAATTAACCATATTTAGCATTTGAAACACAAAATAAGATACTTTGCCAAATTATAAAGGCGTAAGATGGTTTAAAATGTTAGCCATCTCCAAAATAATCAATTCTTCAGTAGCACAAGATATTTTAAACAAAAATGGTGTGGTAAATACTCACAGATACATTTTACTACCATCTATATGACAATAGTGTGCTCTTCGAGTATATATAAGGTGTATATCTGAATGGAATAGATTTGCATTCGTGTGTTCTGCAGGTTGTCCTTGAATGTAACTATGAACAAAAGCACACTTGCCTACATCTGTCTGTGTACCAAGGGTTAACTAGAATGGGTACTGGCTGCATAGCTGATTTAATTCAGTTTTCAGATATAAGTCTACACTTCATAGTGGTATATAGATAATGACAGACTCTCACATATATAGGTTTTGCATTTCACTTGCCTCAGAAGCACACTGAACCTGGCTGGAGATCTACCAGAATTTGACTGTATTGTTATGCATCTGGAGGTTTGGGAAATGTTGTAGACCTTGCCAAATAGATATGGAGACCTCTTGCATGAAAGGACTTGATGTCACTGTGTCAAGTTGGGGCAGGAGGCTCCAGTGCATGAATATACAGCCTGTTATGTATCTAAAGACTGCAAATTTTCAGTGAGTAGAATTCAGCTATGAGAAAGATTCCAGAGATGCACGTCTGAATTGCCAATGAATTCAGTTATTCAGTACTAATACTATACTGGAGTGGAATCCAGTAATTTTGTCCACTTCTGACTTTAGAAGGTGGTATTAGTCCATGAGGCCTTTCCTCTGGCTCTTCTTTCAGGGCTGGAGACTGTTTTTAAGAACATTTATAGTTAGTATCAGTTGGAGCTGTGTTATGGTTTAAATTTAAAATGTA